TGAAAGGTTTGACCAAGAGTTGACTTATTTGTATATGAGCTCGGATCGGAATTTTTATGATTTTATTAGCTTTGTTGGGTGATTTATGACTTAGGAGCGTGATCGGAATTGGTTTTGGAGGTCCAGTGTAGAATTAGGCTTGAATTGGCGAAGTTAGTATTTTGGCGAATTCCGGTTGATAGGTGAGATTTCGATCCGAGGGTCGGAATGGAATTCCGAGAGTTGTTATGGCTTCGCTATGTCATTTGTGATGTGTGTGCAAAATTTCAGGTCATTCGGACGTGGTCTGGTTGGGTTTTTGATCGAAAGCGTATTTCGGAAGTTTTTAGAAAACTTAGGCCTGAATTCGATGTGAATTGATGGATTTGGTGTTATTTGAGGTGTTTTGATGATTGGAACAAGTTTGAATGAGGTTTTAGGATGTGTTGGTACTTTTGGTTGGGGTCCCGGGGGCCTCGGGTGAGTTTCGGGTGGTCAATCAGACCATTTTCTATGTTGAGAAGTTGCAGAAATTTCAACAGTTGTTGTAGATGATTTTAGCCTTCGCGATCGCGTGAGGTCCATCGCGATCGCGTAGAAGGAATGTGGGTTGGCCTGAGTTCGGCCTTCACGTTCGCGTTTGAGGTCTTGCGTTCACTGAGGGCCTTGACCTTGTGCTTCGCGTTCGCATGCAGTGGTTCGCGTTCGCGTATAAGTCTTTGGGGGTCCAGTGGATTTGTTCTTCGCGTTCGCATCATCTGGTTCGCATTCGCGTAGGTCTGGAAATTAAGGCAACGCGTTCGCATAGTGCATTTGGGAGTCTTGGAATTTTTGCTCTTCGCGATCGCGAAGGCTTGGGCCAAGATCGCGATGAAGGAAGTTCAGAGCTGGGCAGAAAGTTTATAAAATATTTCATCCGCGATTTTGAGCCATTATTCCTCTATAGCTGAGTATTTTGAGAGATCTTTGAGGGAAATTGAAGAGGGATTCATGGAGAATTGATTGGAGGTAAGATTTTTGAATCTAAAACGTGATTCTATTGTGAAATTTACCTAGAAATTCATGGAATTAGGCTAAAAATGGAAGAACTAGGGCTTGGGATTTTGAAACTTTTAAATTGGGATTTGAAGGACCATTTGAGGTCGGATTTGAGAACTTTTGATATGTATGAACTCGTGGAAGAATAAGGAACCCGTTGATGTAAAAATTTCTGAGTTTTGAGAAGTGGGCCCGGGGCTCGAGTTTTGGTAATTTCGGGATTTCTGCCCGTTATTGATTGTTTTCGCTTGGGCTTTGTTCCCTCAGCATATTGTGATGTATTCGTTCTGATTTTGGATAGATTCGACGCGCGTGGAGGCCGATTTGAGGGGCAAAGGCATCGCGAGCTAGAGATTTCACCGGTTCAAGGTGAGTAATGATTGTAAATGATACTCTGAGGGTTTGAAACCCTGGATTGAACATCATAGTGCTATATTGAGGTGAGACACGTGCTTGATGATGAGCGTGTGGTCGTTTACTATTGGGGATTGTGACTTGGTCCGTCCCGATTGATGATTTTACCGCGTATTTGACTGAAACTTATTTGTTATCATCATGATTTGGGTTGATCGCCATATTTGGGCTTCGTGCCAACTATCTGAACCCTTCGGGGATTTTTATTACTATTTCCTCACTGTTTTTGAATTATTACTTGAAGGTCCTGTTGATATCTACTGTTTTACAAACTCAGCCACTTTTACTCAGATTTGAAACTTAAATGATATTTCTAAATGATGTTTTGGGCTGAGAACTACTGTTTTACTAATGCCCGAGGGGCTTGTGATATTTTTGGACTGAGTGAGGCCGAGGGCCATATGTGAGGATATACTGAGTGATATGAGGCCGAGGCCTGAGATACTTTTATACGCCACGAGGTGGCTTGAGTGATATGAGGCCGAGGGCCTAGATTTGATGCCACGAGATGGCTTGATATTGCGCTTGGGCCGTAAGGGGCCCCTCCCAGAGTCTGCATACCCCCAGTGCGCGCGGGTACCCATTGTGATCACAGAGTGAGACCGAGGGGCTGGAACTGTTCTATGTGTTTTCTTTATTTCCATTTGTCTGCCATTACTTGTTGATTGTGTTACTTTATGTGTTATCTTCCTGATTGCCTGGCATTACTTGTTAAATTGAGTGTTGAGCCCGAGGGGCGGATTTCTGTGCTTATCTGCACTAATTGTTTTGCATTCATTTGCATAACTGTTGAAAAAGTCATTTTCAAAAGAGGTTTAAACTAAGCTAAGATATTTCTAAAGAATTCACAGCTTCACTGTTTTTCTCAAGGGTTTTACACCGCTTCTATACAGCATGTTGGTTTGCTTTACGTGATTTCTTACTGCTAAGTTGTTATTTACCTTTATTACTTACTGAATTGGAATACTTACTTTACTCCTTGCACCTCGTATGCAGATGCAGGTATTTATTCACCCGATAGCGGGTGTTGAGCTGATCGGAGACTGAGTCATCAGAGTTTAGTAAGGTGGCTGTCAGCGTTCGCAACACCACTCTTCTCCCTTCTCTTTCATCAGTCATGTTTTGTACATTTAGACCTTGTAGTCGTATTTATACTCTAATAGATGCTCGTGACTTGTGACATCCCGGTTTGGGCTGTGTCGGGATGGTTTCTACTGTTGTTATCGTTATTTCCGCAAATTATGGTTGTTATATCATGTTTTAGAACTACTTATGGTATTTAACTGTTTAAAAGAGGTGGTCTGTTTTGGTCTGGTTGGCCTTATCTTCACGAGAGGCGCCCTCACAACCGGGTTCGGGGTTAGGGTCGTGACACCTCGGATCGGATATTTAATATGGTTAATGTCAAATATCAAAATGGAGTCATATTGGGAAAAAAATTACTGGCTAAATAATTTTTTAAATTTTTAGATAGCCGACTAAAATGAGTTTTGAATTAAGGATAATATTTTCACTTACATTATTATAAAATAAATTATTATTTGAAAATAATATTTTAGAAACTGAAATTTTAAAATAGAAATAATTTTTTAAATTTTTAGATAGCCGACTAAAATGAGTTTTGAATTAAGGATAATATTTTCACTTACATTATTATAAAATAAATTATTATTTGAAAATAATATTTTAGAAACTGAAATTTTAAAATAGAAATAATTTTTTAAATTTTTAGATAGCCGACTAAAATGAGTTTTGAATTAAGGATAATATTTTCACTTACATTATTATAAAATAAATTATTATTTGAAAATAATATTTTAGAAACTGAAATTTTAAAATAGAAATAATTTTTTAAAGATATCAACGCACAAAATAAGAGTTTAAGTAGTAGTAAAAGAGTCAAGTCGTATCCAAAGAGTCTTTTATAGTCTCAACCTTTGATTGTTTTGTCATAAATATGAGTTATTATTTTGCTTTCCGACTACTTTTAGGATCCAATGACACCGGCGAGAATGATATCAAAAAAGAAAAATAGAATTATATCTAGGAAATTTGAGAAATGGTTAATCTTTTTCATGCAGTGTCTCTTAATTAATACCCAATGATTATCTATATTTAATAGAGAAAGTTTAAGTTTTAAAATTATTTATATATAATTCAAATAACTCAAATATATTATATAATTAGTGTCCGCGCATTCGCACATGTGATAATAAGTGCATTCGCACATGTGATAATACTTTATAATAAGTTAAACGTTTTTCTGCGTGAGATGTTCCTTAATTAGTACTTCTGATTTTATTAAAGTGATAGATAGCTAAAGGTACAATTAAAGCATGCACTTAGTGAAGAAAGGCACAATTGATAGGAAGATAAATAAAGCTGCCAAAACATTTGAATAGACAAAAAATATTTAAAATTTACAATTAGGTAGAATAATTTATTGTTGTTTATGTGTGGGTACACGAGGGATTAATCATTTGTCAGGTAATATATGATTTGGTATACACGTGTAATTCATGTACCGAAAAACTAGTAATTAATAAAAATAGAAGAGGATTAAAAAAACTCCTGTAGCTATTAAATTTAGTTCTATAGGAAATAATTTTTGAAATAATCTTGAAAAACTATTGTAAATGTATGTGATCCTTAATTTCGAAAAATACTATTGTAACCGCTAAAGTGTACTAACCACAAATTAAAGATGTTTACATGTTGGCCCTTATCTTCTAACTGCCACAACAGTTTTAAGATGAAAGGAAGAAAAAGCTGTTGGCAGAAACAGACGAAAAATGTCGAAGGTGGTGGTTATTTCCACCATAATCACCGCCTTCGTCTTTCTCGTAATACTATTAATCACCCAATTAAAATTAAATGAGAATGCATATTACACCCCTCGTGGGTTAAGCAGATGATTAGGGCTCAAGACTCGTGACCCAATATTTGATCCCCTTGTTGCCGAATTGGACCAACGTCGTCAGCCTAAAGGAAATAATAGAGCAGAGCAGTCTAGTCGTAGATCGCATAAGAAGGAGGACGATCAATATTTTGACTATGATGGAAAGTTAAAAACTAGCTTAAGATTAATGGTTTTGTTCCCTATTTTGGATGTTGCACCAAAAGATGGTTTCATTGAGTATAAGGAGTTGGAAGCTTGGAATATGCAACAAGCCATTGATCGTTTGCATTATAGAACTCGGAGAGAATTGGAGTTTCGAGACAATAATGGAGATGGAGCTATTTCTTTCTCTGAATATTTACCTCACTTTACCAATCAAGACATAGGTGATCCTTAAAAGATGAATTCCATGCATGCATGTATATATTCTAGACCTCATTTCCGTTTGGAATTTCCTCTGATCAGTCAAATTTGGTCATCTTTAATTTAATTTACAGAGAAAAATGAAACCAGCCATGGAGAAGCAGGATGGTGGATGGAACAATTCAGAAATGCTGATGTTGATCGAAATGGGACTCTAAACTTATATGAATTCAGAGAGTAATACCATTAATTCTTTAACTCCTTTTTTTTTTTGTTGTGTGTGCAAATCATATACTTTTAATCTTTGTTGTGTCATAAAGTTCTATAAATTCCTAATAATGGAATTAATCGTTTGCAGTTTTTTGCACCCTGAAGATAGTAGGAACGAAAATATACAAAAGTGGCTGTTGCGAGAAAAGATCAGGTTAGAACCCCGCAATCATCATTAATTATATTTTAGGTCGTGCTTAAAATATTTCATTATAACAACATCCTTATATAACAATACTTCACTATAAAAGTCAAGTTTTTCTGGAACCAAATTTCATGTTCTGTTATAATATATGTTTTCTATAACAGCAATTCGCTATAACATATCCAAAAATATCTGGAACAAACGAGGTTGTTATAGAGAGGTTTGAATGTATTGTTAATGCATAACACTTATTTTTGTGAGTATTTTTCTTTACACTTAAAACAATATAATAGTGGTTTAATTACTTTGTGTTAACAGGCAGATGGACGTAAACAGGGATCATAAGCTAAATCGATTGGAATTTAGTAACGGTGCTTACAACATCTATAAGACTTACCTGGAATATGAATCTCGGGGAGCCAATATTCCAACACCACTAGAAGCATTCGCCAAGCTTGACGTCGATGGTGACAAGTAATTAATTGTTCTTAATTACTTCGTCTCACTTAGCTTGTTTCAATATTTGATATATATGTGTTTAGCAAATATTAATTAATCTTTATTTGCTGGAAAAATACTGATTTTGCTAGATTTCTGAGAGAGGAAGAATTGAAACCAATTCTGCACTACTTGTGCCCTGGAGAACTCTCCTACGCTAAAGTCTACACCACATATTTGATTCGAGAGGCAAGTCTACAATTGTTCTAATTAATATTGTTACATTCATAGACTTTTCATTTATCTTTTTTTTTAAAAAAAAAATTCACCTCTTCTTTAATTTCTTCCTATTATTATGTTAAAGTTTTTCTCTATGATTCGTTCCGTCTTTACTATTTTCAAAATTGTTAAAAGGGGAGTATTATTTACTAACATCTTAATTAAACTGTTTCTATATTTCTGTAGCCCTAACATGTGTGTTGCCTTTGGAGATATTGTTACAATAATGTTCACATAGCAAATGTGAAATTAATCATGTGTCAATTTGATTGTTAAGTTGGTAAAGAGTTGCAATTTTTTTTTTAAAATCTTAAAACATTACATCCAGAAACAATTGTTCCTCAAAAACTATTTCCAAAAGTTATCATCCAAATTCAAATTATTTTAAAGTATAATCTTTTTTAAAGGCTATCCAGATTAAATGCTTAGTGTGTGTATATATATATATATATATATATATATATATATATACACACACACATACACAATAATATTATGCATTATATAATTTGATTCAATAATTTAACACATTTCTTTTGCTATGTAGGCTGATGATAACCAAGATGGTAAATTAACATTGGATGAAATACTCAATCATGAAAGTATTTTCTACAGTACCATCTATGACAATGGTAGAAATGAAGATCTTTCCCACGACGAACTTTAAATTGTGGTATGTCACTCAATATGCCATGGGATCAATGATGTTTTGTACGTAGCACATTCATAGGTTGATCCAACATAGACGAAACAAAACCCAAGATAGGGCTCTTCTTTTCCTTTCATCTCTTTGGCTTTCTATTCCTTGTCATAATTAATAATCATCCACAAGAACCTCTTTGCATTTTGATTTTGACTAACACTCCATTCTCTTGTATCTAAATGATACTACTTTTCCATCTCTTTCTTTTCTTACTTATTGTGTTGCATTATATATATAAATTCTACATAATAGACCTAGAAATTTAATTTGATAATTTTCTTATTTGAGTTACTTTGTGCATCTAAAACTCATATATGCAATTGTTATAAAATTATCTAATCAACCAACGAGAAGTTAGAAATACTTAACTTAATTGTTCAATTAACCTGATCATCATCATCGGGAAAATCACCAATATTAATGACAAAATTTTGTGGAATATTCAAGCGTGAAAACCTTCATATATTCCAGTCTTCAACTGATAATTTGGAGCTCTGATATATATTAGTATTTTTAGCACGAATGCAGTATCATTGTATCAATGTTGTGGCTGAGGTGAGGAGATCAATTTAATTCACAGAGGCAGTTTATTTCAACTCGATCAATTCGATGAGCTCAAGTCAGCTGATCATAGTTCAAAAAGTAATTACAGAAGTTAGTAGCGGTGCAGTTCGTTGAATACAATTTTTTTTGCTACTTTACCCATTAGCAATAGCTAATAGTGATATAGTGAGGCTTGTACATGCTAATTTCTTTTGTATGTAAATACATTTTACATATACCTCGATGAAATATAAGAATACCGGAGTTAGAATCTTCTCTACCTCTTTTTCTTGGTTTAATTTTACACATAGTGAGTAAATTTTAATTAATTTATTGTATTAATAAAGTTACAATTTTGTCTTAATGTCATTCAACCATGTGTATGTTAATCTCTCAATTCACGAAAAAGTCAAACTTCGGGCACCGAAAAATTAAATCTTCTAACATCTTATAAAATTCCATAGGCAAAATACATAAGTTACCCCTGAATTATGGTCCAAATCCTTGTTACAAATTTTTTACGGACAAAAATTACTTTACACACTCAACCTTTTTATAGTGTAACTAAGACACACCTTTTTTTTTCTTCACCAATTTACTAAATTATGTTAATGTCACACACCAATTAGATCGTGACACGTGTCATCAACTTAAAATAATATAAAATAAATATAAAATTACACATATACTGTCACGACCTGGATTTCCCACCTTCGGGGGTCGTGATAGCGTCTACTTGTGAAAGCTAGACAAGCCGACAGTTACAGTTTTACTACCTTTATTATTAACCAAACGAGGACAGATAATAGTTAAAACAAAATAACTAAGAAATGCGGAAGTTATATAACAGTGCCACAACTCAAGTACATAGCTACCCTATAGATCTGGTGTCACAATCCACGAACGACTAAGATTTACTACAAATATAAGTCTGAAAGAAGTACAACTGTTCTCGAAATAGAAGAGACAGAAGAAACTAACGCGGGTAAAGGGGGTTTCAGGCTCTACGAACGCCAGCAGATCTACCTTGGTCTCCTTGGACTGAAGACAGCAACCTCAAGCTATTTACAGGGTCCGACATTGAAATCAACACAAAAAGTGCAGAGTGCAGTATCAATACAATCGACCCCATGTACTGGTAAGTGTCGAGCCTAACCTCGGTGAAGTAGTGACGAGGCTAGGACATGACAACCATATAAACTTGTGCAGTTAAATCATATACGAGTAGAACAATAATAACAGATAAAGATGGGAATGGGAAACATACTGCGGGGAATATCAAATTCTAGCAGTAATTCAACAGAGAAGCATAATGAACACCATATTTGTATCAACAGGGATAATGAAACAGTAACACGTGCACAACATCACCCTTCGTGTTTTTACTCTCGCTCTCACCATAAGAAACAACAGAAATGGCACGACATCACCCTTCGTGCATTAACTCTCATAATCGTGGCACGACATCATCCTTCGTGCATTAGCTTTGTGCATTAACACTCACAATATCGACACGACATCACCTTTCGTGCATTAACACTCACTCACAATATCATGCACGATATTACCCTTCGTCTTTTACACTCTTCCTCACCCAAACAATAGAAATAATACATCCCGGTAAGGGAATCAATAATAGAAACAATAACATCCCGGCAAGGGAATCAGCTATAACCAATCTCGTTTCAACAGTTAACTCCACGAAATAAGTCTCAACTTGAGTCAATACTCAACAATGGTCAATTACCAAGAAAATATCTCAAGTCTTGTTCAATATGGATAATCATCAACTTAAGCATCAATAGTACATATTAAGAATCACAACGGTCACAGTTTAAGACTCACTTGCATGCTCGACACCAACATATAGATACTCGTCACCACACCTATACGTCGTACTCAACACTAACATGTAGCAAATAAGACAACAACTTTTATTCCCTCAAGCTAAGGTTAGACCAAACACTTACCTCGATCCCACGGACAAAATCAAGCCTCAATTACCGTTGTACCTCTCAGTTCCACTTCCAATCCGCTTGTATCTAGTCATAATTTACTTAGTAACATCAGTAAATACTAAATAAACCAATTCTAATGCATGAATATAGATTTCCCAATGTTTTTCCCAAAAAGTCAAAAATTGACCTCGGGCCCGCTGGGTCAAAACTCGAAGTTAGAACCAAAACCTGGCTATTCGTTCACCCACGAACCCAAATATGCAATTGGTTTTGAAATCCGACCTCAAATTTAGGTCCAAATCCCCAAATTTTGAAATTCCTAATTTCTACCCAAGAATACCCAATTTCCCATAAAAAACCCTAGTTTTTGAGATGAAATCATGTAAAAAGATGAAATAGATTGAAGAAAAAGAGTTAAGATTCATTTACCTATGATTTCGGGAAGAACTTGCTCTAGAAAAATCGCCCTTTGGAGTTTAGGTTTTGAAATTTTGAAGAATGAAGGGAAAATCTCATCTAAAATCTCACTTAACAGGCTGCAGTTATTGCAATTGCGATCAGGAGTTCGCAATTGCCAACCCTTTGAATTTACTGTTGCCTTCGCATTTGTGACACATATGTCGCATTTGCGACTTCATGGGCCTTCTCAATTCCGGCCAAAGTTTGCATTTGCGAGGTTGCACTTCCCAGACCTTCTTCGCATTTGCGACAATATTGTCGCATTTCCCAGGCCGGCAAACTTTGCATTTGCGAAACCTAATCTCGCATTTGCGAGATCACAGGCCTGTGCAAAACACCAGATGCACAACTGAGTTTTCTTAAGTTCTAATCACTCCGTGGCCTATCCAAAACTCACCCGAGCCCTCGAGGCTCCAAACCAAACATGCACTCAAGTATACCATACGAACTTGTTCGTACGATCAAATCATCAAAATAACATTAACAACTACGAATATGACCTCAAACTCATGATTTTCCTCAAAAACACTTCAAATTTATTATTTTCACAACCGGACGTCCGAATTACGTCAAATCAACTCCGATTCTTACCAAATTTTACATATACTACTTAAATATTATATTAAACTTGTACCAGGCTTCGGAACCAAAATACGGGCCCGATACCACCAAGATCACACACCATTTCATTTCCAAAAAGTCCTTATATTTTCTAGCAAACAATTTTCTTTAAAAATTATTTTCTTGAGCTAGGGACCTTGAAATTCGATTCCGAGCATACGCTCAAGTCCCATATTTTACTATGGACCCTACAAGACCGTCAAGTCACGGGTCCGGGTCCGTTTACCAAAAATATTGACTGAAGTCAATTTTAATTAATTTTAAAGGCCAAATTCAATATTTTTCTTAAATTTCACATAAAAGATTTCCTGAAACGCGCCCAGACTATGCACACAAATCAAGGAGAAAAAATAAGGTTTTTAAGGCCTCGGAACACGAAATCGGATTCTAAAATACAAGATGACTCTTTGGGTCACATTCTCCACCTCTAAAACAACCGTTTGTCCTCGAACGGACAAAAAAAAATACCTAAATCGGTGAAAAGATGGCGATATCTGCTCCGCATATCGGACTCGGACTCCCAGGTCACTGCCTCAACAGGCTGGCCTCTCCACTGCACATGAACTGAAGGGAAATTCTTAGATCTCAACTGACGAACCTACTGGTTTAGAATAGCTACCGGCTCCTCCTCATAGATCAAGTCCTTGTCCAACTGGATCAAGGATCTCAAACGGCCTGATGAACCTAGGGTTTAGCTTGACCCTCTTCCCAAATCTCATCACGCCCTTTATGGGCAACACTCGCTCTCCGATCATGAATGCCACATCACGAACCTTACGGTCGGCATAACTTTTTTGCCTGGACTGAGCTGTACGAAGTCTATCCTGAATGATCTTAACCTTGTCCAAGGCATCCTGTACTAAATCTGTACCCAACAACCGAGCCTCCCCCGGTCCAAACCACCCAACTGGCGATCGACACCGTCTACCATATAATGCCTCATAGGGAGCCTTCTGGATGCTTGACTGATAGATGTTGCTGTAGGCAAACTCTGCTAATGGAAAGAACAGATCCCAAGAACCTCCAAAGTCAATAACACAGGTGCGGAGCATATCCTCCAAAATCTGAATAGTACGCTCGGACTGTCCATCCGTCTGAAATGATGTGCTCAACTTGACCCGTGTACCCAACTCACGCTGAACTGCCCTACAGAAATATGAGGTAAACTACGTACCTCGGTCAGAAATAATAGACATGGGCACACTATGATGACAGACAATCTGCCGGATATATATCTCAGCTAACCTCTCTGAAGAATAGGAGACTGCCACAGGAATAAATGCGCTAACTTAGTCAGCCTATTAACAATAACCCATAGCGCATCAAACTTCCTTTGAGTCCGTGGGAGTAACAACGAAGTCCATAGTGATACGCTCCCACTTCCACTCAGGAATCTCAATCTTCTGAAGCAAACCACCAGGTCTCTGATGCTCGTACTTTACCTGCTGACAATTGTAACACCGAGCTACATATGCAACAATATCCTTCTTCTTCATCCTCATCCACCAATAATGCTGCTACAAATCCTTATACATTTTAGCGGCTCCCGGATGAATAGAATACCGAAAATTATGGGCCTCCTCTAGAATCAACTCACGAAGTCCATCCATATAAGGCACACAAAATTGACCATGCATCCTCAAAACTCCATCATCTCCAACAGTAACCTGCTTGGCAACACCGTGTTGCACGGTGTCCCTAAGGACTAGCAAGTGAGGATCATCATACTGCCGATCCCTGATACGCTCAAATAATGAAGACCGAGCGACTGTACAAGCTAAAACACGGCTGGGCTCAGAAACATCCAACCTCACGAACTGATTGGCTAAAGTCTGAACATCCAAAGCAAGCAGTCTCTCACCAACTGGAATATACGCAAGGCTGCCCATACTGGCTGAATTCCTACTCAAAGCATCGGCCATTACATTGGCCTTCCCCGGATGATACAAGATAGTGATATCATAGTCTTTCAATAGCTCCAACCACCTCTTCTGCCTCAAATTTAGTTCCTTCTGCTTGAACAAGTACTGTAGACTCTTGTGATATGTGAACACCTCACATGACACGCCATATAAATAATGCCTTTAAATCTTCAGCGCGTGAAAAATGGCTGCTAGCTCCAAATCATGAACTGGATAATTTTCTCGTGAATCTTCAACTATCGCGAAGCATATGCAATAACCTTGCCATTCTGTATCAACACCACACCAAGTCCATTATGAGATGCATCACAATATACTATATATGGCCCTGAACCC